TGCTATAATCCCCTGTCTTAATCTGTCTCGTAATTTTGGCATCGTCAGCAAACAGTGAGAGGAATATGTGTTTACGCTCTCTTTGTTGTTTGTTGTTGTTTCAGATTTAGCTACTCAGAACGAAATGTCCATGTAGCACGGGCTATGGTGAGCCCGTAATACGCTCTGGGAGATCATTTGCTTATATCAGAAAGAGGATTGGTCCGAGTACAGATGAACCCTATAGGACTCCGCTGGTGACATCTCTCCATTTTGAGATCTTTCCCTCAGAGTAACTCACTATATTGTGTTGCTTAGGTACTTCCTAATCCCCTGGAACAACTTACTTGTTACTCCTGCACCAGCCTCTAATGGGCTACTGTATCAAAGGCTTTCTGACTGTCCAAGAAAATGCAGTCTGCCCATCCTTCTCTTTATTGTATAATTTTTTTTGCTTGGGCATATAATTCTGTTAAACCTGTGAGGCAAGACTTGCCTTCCCTGAACCCATGCTGGTGGTGCGTCACGAAGTTCCTTCTCCTCAGGTGTGCTACTGTCATACACGCACAGTAGCTAGGTGTATACTGTCATATACGCACAGTAGCTAGGTGTATACTGTCATACACGCACAGTAGCTAGGTGTATACTGTCATATACGCACAGTAGCTAGGTGTATACTGTCATACACGCACAGTAGCTAGGTGTATACTGTCATATACGCACAGTAGCTAGGTGTATACTGTGCTAGAATGATTGCTACATATACACACATTCCCAGGAAACAGCCCGAAGCATCTGTCTAAATCCTAGGTACATTTGTACTGCTAGGTGAACAGGAGTATCATGTGAAAGAAACTGCCCATTTGTTTAAGGTCGTGATCCCAAGGGCCCTTAGGATTACGACCCCCCCCCCCCCCCCCCCCGAGCACGAGCCGCGAGGCCCATGTGTGTACTCACCTATGTGTGCCTGCAGGATCGAGCTCTAGCTCTTGGACCCAGCTTTTCTAGCCGCTGGTTGTCTAATGCAATGTTAGCCTCTACAACCTGCTCCTTTAGGTCATTCCATTTACTCACTACTATTACGCTTAAAGAAAACTTTCTAACATCTCTATGACACATCTGAGTCTCACGCATCCTTCCATGGCCCCCTTGTTCTATTGTTATTCATTGTAAACATTTCCTGTGTTTCCACCTTGTCAATCCCTCTAATTATTTTATACGTCTGTATCATGTCCCCGCTCTTCCTTCTCCTTTCTAACGTGGTCAGGTTTAGTTCCTTCAGTCTGTCTTTGTACCTCATCCCTCGCAGCTCTGGGACGAGTCTCATTGCAAATTTTTGCACCTTTTCGAGCTTATGTGTTTTTTAAGATGGGAGCTCCACGTTGGGGCGGCATACTCTAAGACTGGCCTCACACACACACACACACACACACACACACACACACACACACACACACACACACACACACACACACACACACACACACACACACACACACACACACATACACACACCAGGAAGCCGCCCGTGACAGCTGACTAACTCCCAGGTACCTATTTACTGCTAGGTAATAGGGGTATCAGGGTGAAAGAAACTCTGCCCATCGTTTCTCGCCGGCGCCGGGAATCGAACCCGGGTCACAGGACCACGTGTCCAGCGTGCTATCCACACAGGCGCAGGCGCCCCAAACTGTGTGTGTGTGTGTGTGTGTGTGTGTGTGTGTGTGTGTGTGTGTGTGTGTGTGTGTGTGTGTGTGTGTGTGTGTGTATACTCACCTAATTGTACTCACCTAATTGTGCTTGTGGGGGTTGAGCTTTGGCTCTTTGGTCCCGCCTCTCAACTGTCAATCAACTGGTGTACAGATTCCTGAGCCTACTGGGCTCTATCATACCTACATTTGAAACTGTGTATGGAGTCAGCCTCCACCACATCACTTCCTAGTGCATTCCATTTATTAACTACTCTGACACTGAAAAAATTCTTTCTAACGTCTCTGTGGCTCATCTGGGTACTAAGTTTCCACCTGTGTCCCCTTGTTCGTGTCCCACCCGTGCTGAAGAGTTTGTCTTTGTCCACCCTGTCAATTCCCCTGAGAATTTTGTAGGTGGTTATCATGTCTCCCCTTACTCTTCTGTTTTCCAGGGATGTGAGGTTCAGCTCCTTTAGCCTTTCCTCGTAGCTCAATCCTCTCAGTTGTGTGTGTGTGTGTGTGTGTGTGTGTGTGTGTGTGTGTGTGTGTGTGTGTGTGTGTGTGTGTGTGTGTGTATGTATGTGTGTGTGTGTGTGTGTGTGTGTGTGTGTGTGTGTGTGTGTGTGTGTGTGTGTGTGTGTGTGTGTGTGTGTGTGTGTGTGTGTGTGTGTGCGTGTGTGCGTGAGCGTCCCCTAACAAGGGCGCTCAGTACAATTGCACCACGCCGGCTGATTTGGCTGATTAACTCACTGGATTTCTTACACTTGTTATAATTCTTATGGATTATTTATTTTAATATTTGCTTTTGTAACATTAATAATATAAAATATACTATTACTATTGTTGCTAACTTAATCGTCAACGTTTAGTGGGCTCACTAAAGCGAACATTCCGTCCACTTGCTGCTCCGTGAACACTGCAACTGTTTGGCCTGACGTAAAAAAAACATTGTAAACGTAAACGTAAAACGTGACTGAAACGTAAAAAAGGCAACTGTATTGCCTAACACGGAACGTACAAACCTAAACAACCCACCTAACATATCAAGTTGATGCATAGCAAACGTTGATATTCGTTTATTATTGATTATTTAAAACGTCAATATTCGTTGATTATTGATTATTAAAACGTCAATATTCGTTTATTATTGATTATTAAAACGTCAATATTCGTTTATTATTGATTATTAAAACGTCAATATTTGGATTATTAAAAGTCAATAATTCGCACAAATAAAGGATTGATTTATTCCGTACAAAATGCAACGTTTTAGGTGGGAGAAGGGGTGGGGGGGGGGGGGGGGAGAAGTTGAACACTCAGTGTTGTCAAGAAAACACCTTCCACTTCCCCCAGGTAGAATACCCCCCCCCCTCCCCCGGGTTGTGTACTCCCAGGGTAATGTTCCCTGTGTACAGTGTACCCCACGTACAGCCGGGTAGTGGTTGTGTAAGGAATCGTTCAGGACCTTGTATACCACTTATGTCAGACCAATCGTGGAGTATGCAGCTCCAGCCTGGAGTCCATACCTAGTTAAACACAAGAAAAAGTTAGAGAAGATTCAGAGGTATATCACCAGACTCGTCCAGGAACTGAGAGGTATGTGCTACGAGGAAAGGCTAAGGAAGCTGAACCTTACGTCCCTGGAAAACAGAACAGTAATGGGAAACATGATAACCACCTACAAAATTCTCTGTGGAATTGACAGGGTTTACTAAGACAGACTCTTTAGCACGGGTGGAACACGAACAAGGGGACACAGGTGGAGACTGAGTACCCAAATGAACCACAGAGACGTTAGAAAGAACTTTTTCAATGTCAGTAGTTAAGAAATGAAATGCATTAGGAAGTGATGTGGTGGAGGCTGACTCCATATACAGCTTAAAGTGTAGATATGATAGAGCCCAGTGGGCTCAGGAATCTGTACACCAGTTGATTGATAGTTGAGAGGCGGGACCAAAGAGCCAGAGCTCAACCCCCGGAAGCACAACTAGGTGAGTACAGGTGGTGTACCCCCTGGATAGTGTACCCCCAGAGTGGTGTACCTCTCCAATAACAATAGACACACAGATTTAACTGTAAAAACAACAAACTAAAAGTCATGTGAAACCAATAACAATAACCCCATAATAATTACAACATTAAGCGCAGCCATAACGCCGCTGAACCTTCAATAACAAGAGTCAGGAGATCTCACACCTCGATAAGCGCGTGCGGCCTTGCGGTAGCCAGTGACGTCACAATGCTGGACATTTTTATGCGGAGGGTGTCGGCGAGACCTGATCCCTCGCCGCCGCCAAGCTTTCATTAGCCAAGAATTTATCCTGGAGCCGAAAGTGTTAATTGTGTCTCATTATATCAGTAATGAGTACTAAATACCTGGCAGGGGATCGCGTTACCCAGAGAGAGGCGTTCATGAATCCGACTCTGCACTGTCTCCGACGCGGGCGGGATTCTTCTCCCAGGAGCGTTCTTGTTGGGTTGAAATATGGCGGGAATGGGACGCGTGCACGGTGGCTTTTTGGGACCTCTGGAGGGTTAATGATATATGGAGGCTCTTGGGATCTTTGCCGGCTTTATGGGGCCTTGAGGGGGGGCTTCTGGCGCTCACTTTGTAGTGATGGGCAACAGTTTTTGTTCGTTCTTATCAAATAAAGTTTTAAACGCGACCGCAAGAGATAAGCGTACCATTGTCCTAGATGACTAATAGTGTTGCACATTTATTCATCGTTGTAACCAAGCAAGATACAAGAGGAGCCAGACTATGTACCCTGGCACACGCCAGTGATGCGGTGTGGTGGCGCAGCGCCTCATGGGTTTACCCGCCAAGTGGATATACACAGAAACAGAGGGGCGCTGGTAATTATATTTGTGACCACCAGGGAATTGTCGAGACCGGCAAGTTTAGCTTCTCTCGCTTGCCTTTATTCATTTATATTTGTCCTGCTCCTCGTCCGCCTCTTCCTCCTCGTCTTCTTCCTCTTCCTCCTCCTTCTCCTTCTCCTCCTCCTCCTCCTCCTCCTTCTCCTCCTCCTCCTTCTCCTCCGCCTCATTAATTCGTTGCGTCGAATTAATGACCCTCCCCAGGATGCAACGTCACACCCTAACCCCCGGGTACCTATTTACTGGTAGGCAAACAGAAGCAAAAGATGAAAGAAAACGTGCCTAACAGTTTCCGACCCGCCCGGAGATTGAACTGGGGATACTCAATTGTAAGTGGAGAACGTAGCCACTGTGCTATCCAGACTCATTATCTTCCTCCACCGCCTCCTCCATCTGCTCTTTCTTATACGATATGCACCTTGTAGTCCTCATTCTATTCCTTCCGCTCCCATGTTCCTCATGGTTATTCCTTATATTCCTCATACTTCCCAGACCCCAGGATCTCTGGTGGCTCCAAGACCCTACACCTTACAAGGACCTCCAGCAGCTCCAAGACCCTACACCTTACAAGGACCTCCAGCAGCTCCAAGACCCTACACCTTACAAGGACCTCCAGCAGCTCCAAGACCCTACACCTTACAAGGACCTCCAGCTGCTCCAAGACCCTACACCATACAAGGACCTCCAGCAGCTCCAAGACCCTACACCTTACAAGGACCACCAGTAACTCCAAGACCCTACACCTTACAAGGACCTGCAGTAGCTTCAAGACCCTACACCTTACAAGGACCTCCAGCTGCTCCAAGACCCTACACCTTACAAGGACCTCCAGCAGCTCCAAGACCCTACACCCTTACAACACCCTCCAGTAGCTCCAAGACCCTACACCTTACAAGGACCACCAGCAACTCCAAGACCCTACACCTTACAAGAACCTCCAACAGCTCCAAGACCCTACACCCTTACAACGACCTCCAGTAG